ATATAACACGCACAAAGAAGTATGTATACCTGTCTCTATATTTGTATTTCTTTCCTTTAAAGATGTCACCATTCTCAACTGGTCTTCTTGTCATCCTTTGGTTACAGAAAAATATTATAATGAATTGTGCTTTGTTTAACACCTGACCCATCAAGAAATTCCATTCATAAACCAAGAATACACAAGAACGATGTCTCCACCCTACACCCACACATGTATTGCCTCCCACACCCTGCTATAAACTTCTTCTTCCTGAACTTTTTATTTCAGAAAACAGCCTGAGATTGTGTCTGTGAGGGAATGGCAGCTGCCTGGGAGCTTGTTGATTCCTGCAGGGCAGGCTAGATGACTGGAAGTCTTGAATCTCAAAAGTGAAAAATGTATTTGTGTGGCTCTGACAGTTCTATTGGACACACACTCTTTTGCTGACCAGAGGTCAGCTATAGCCACTGCAAGCCATGGGTTAGTGACCTGTAGGCAAGACATTTATTCTAGTAACAGTGCTCTGTACAGTATGACTTTCCTATTTCAAGGCCGCAAACTTGTTGCATTTGAAGTTTTTCCTGCTCTCACCCACCCTCATGATGGCTTGCTGTCACAGCCACTTGCTGCTACCACCACCAGTGTTATTTTTAATATTACTGTAGTTTTATTTTTTTCAAAGTGAAATAGCACTATTTCACTATTACAGGTAGGAAAAAATACCTGCAACTGATTGAACTGTAAGGCTTCCCTGCAGCCCAGAACCTGTGAGCCTAGCATCACCCTACACAGCTGAGCACACATGGCGGTGCGAGGGTGGGCAGACAAGATGAAACCTTAAATGCAATGGGTTTGTCAAAACCGGTATAACTTCTTTGACCTATATACAACACCGCTTAAAAATGGATTAAAAGTTGTCCCAAGAGAATGCACACACCGACCCAAAAACGACACAACTACCATGTGACTTTAACTCAACTTCAAAAACCATGATCCATCAACTGATTTATTTCAATAGTGTAACCGCACCCTAACATAAGTGGAAGTGACTTAGCTGACAAGCTTACAGATGTACAAGGAAGATACCTCATAGCTGAAATTGCGCTCGGAGAGCAACTACAGAAAGGTAGTCTGAGGTTGCTGGATTGGTATAAAGGTTGGAAATACATGAAGCACCTGAAATTAAAGGGTGTGTTTCTGTGTATGCATGCTGTTCCCTCTGGGGACTATGCTTCAGAGGATGCTCGTAACTTATCTATAAACACTGAATTTTTAAAAAAAAAACTCCCAGTGCTAGATTATTGTTTTCAAAAGAGCTCTTCCAAGAATAGTGTTTTTTAAACAGATACACCTTTATAGAAGTTAGAGACTGTTACATGTGCACAGATTAACAGTAAATGTTTACAATTCACTTTTGTAAACACACATAAATAGGTTTAAACGCTTGGTCTTGGTCTTCATCCAAAATGCTTACTCTTGTTAAACTCTTTCTACAATGCTCATGGCCATTCCAATATTCTTACTTGGGCTGTCCTTCATTCTGTTCTTTTTTCCCCCCCATTGAACAAAATCAGTCAAGAGCCTCCTGACGCTTTAAAGATGAACAACCTTGTTATGCCATAAGCTTTTGTATGTTAGGCTGCAACTTCCAACCTTTTGGACTACAGTCCACTTCATAAAATGCACAAAGTGTTGTCAACATTTCACAAGTTTATACCTAGGTGGTGTGAAGAGAAAATAGGTGAGGTCAGAGGAAAATGATATTAGGGGGGGAATGCAGACTCTTAAGAATGATACTGAATATTAAATTATGTAAAATAACCAGTGACCATTCCCAAAACAGTGTTGATATTAACATAAACATCCTATTAATTAAGTTAATTATAGCACTTGTCAGGGATAAGACTTCATTACGTACCTCATTTTAAGCCAGAGGTGATAGCATGGAATGTCTTCATAAGTTGTAGTGGTTTCATATGCAATTCTTCCTTAGAATTTTCTTTGTGCAAAACTGGTTATTTTAAGATCAATGACAGAGTCTCCTGGGAGCCTCTGCTATTGGTGTCTGGATGTTTCCCATTTTGTGTCCATGTGTTATTTTGAGTAGAGAACCACCTTTTTGTCCTATGGAAAACTGCCTTGGTGGCAGACGATAACATGTATTATAAAATGAACAGAGGAATGAATGCTTGCTGTTGGCATCTTGTCCCGGCCCAACCTATTACTTTATAGAGCTCTGTCAAGAACAAAAAGAGAATCGTGCGTTACTGCCTTAAGCTCTTTGGAGAAAAAAGAAGTGTAGGCACAACATGAAATAAGTGAACAAATGGAGGAGGGCATGTCTGCGTAAGATAAAATCGCAGTGTACCAGTTTGCATCGATAGTGTCCAATATTTTTAATTACTGTATTTATACTGTTTTATTTTATTTTTTTGAGATATTTACATTAATTATGCTGAACATTTTTATCCCGTCTTTTCTACAAGGAGCTCTCAAAGGGCTCCATGGTTTTGTTCTTCTTGTTGTTTGTTTTGTTGTTGTTGTTTTTTGTTTCATTTTGTTTTTTTGGCCTATCCCATGTTATTGGGTCCGACCAAAAAAGGAGGCCGGGATGAAGGAGAGTGGCTGGCTTGAAGTTACCTAGCAAGCCTTGTGGCTCACTGCTGAGAAGAACTTGAATTTATGTCTCACTTTTCCTGTTGTGACACTGTAGCACCACAGCGCACAGGTTTTTCATCTCGGTCACTTTTTCCCCCTGTATCATCCGACACTGGATCTGGTTGCAACTGCCGGGATCTTGTGATCTGTTCTAGGTAGAAGCTAAAAGCATGTAGGTGCCACGTAGCAGCCATCAACGTGTCTGATACAAAACAGTCCTGATGTGTCCCTTTTGTATAGACAGGGCTGAGCTCCACCATCTCAAGTGGTGCATCTGATGTGAATGAACTGAGGACCGGTGATTGACAGGGTTGCTGTCGGTTACAAAATCAAATCAGGTTTTCATAATTTTCAGGGCTGTAGCTAAGTTCCTACATGAATGCTGCAAATCCTGGGCTCAACTGATGTGTTGCGTTGCATACAAGTGTAAAATAAATCAAAGCCCAGAATATTAAAAGCAAGAACATAGAAGTTTGTTTCCATGTTGTCAGTTGAGGCTTTATTTATTATGTGTGAATAAATATTTCTGCTTTGGCCCTTTCTCGATAGCCTTGGAAGGAGCTTCTTTCTTAAAGCCTCGCTCCACATCTGCAATGTAGAGGTAACCGTGGTTCACTTTTTTAAAAAAATGGTGCGAGGTTCCGTGATGGTGCAAATATACATGGGCAACAAAACTCCATCAGACGCTTTTGTGAGATACAAGAGCACACTATATATATTCCCTCACGAATGTAGCTTCAGATAGGCTTGGGGTGCTTTTGGTCAAGAAAATGGCTGAAGATGAAACGCTCATCCTTGTGCTGCTGCTGTGATAGAACTGAGCCTGCCCCCCCCCATCCCACTCTTGGCCTCTTGGCTGCAACCACATGAAAACAAAACATTAGGAGATTTCATCTGATCTGCCCTTCAACCCCAAATAACATTAAGGTGATCAAGAGAAGAATTTGTTCTTAGTTCAGGGCTTATCTAGATGGACAGAGATACTGATGCGCAGGCTGGCATGGTTTATCTCAAAGGGGGAGTGGAGCTTACTTTTATTAGTATTTGCATGGCACTTCAAACCCAGTCCTTGGAAACCATTTCTCTAGACTTCCCACCTCCCCCCCCAAAAATAAATAACTCCTTATAAATCCCTTCCTTGCTACAGCCTTACCTCTGCAGCTACTCACCCCCCCTACAATTTTTTTAAAGGTACTATAGTAAAGAACAAATTAAAAGCTGCTTCTGATCTAGGAATGTCTGGCATGGAAATGAACTTTGCAATAGGAAAAGCCCTGTTCAAAATATTACAAGCCTCCCTGGGAGATCAAAACAAGCACAGAAGGCAGGGTAAAGACAGAAGCTGAGCTGATTGGGGGAATAAATAACCAAAAAGAACAGTGCTTTATCAGATATTTTTTTGCTTCTGTCAGAATAAATCCTCAGTTGATGTATTTTGTGGCTTGACGACAGGTTAAAATACCTGTAAATAAATTCGTTCGTTCGTTTAGTCATGTCCGATGACAGGTTAAATACCTGTAAATAAATTCGTTCGTTCATTCATTTAGTCATGTCCGACTCTTCGTGACCCCATGGACCAGAGCATGCCAGGCCCTCTTGTCTTCCACTGCCCCCCGTAGTTGTGTCAATTTCATGTTAGTAGCTTTGATGACACTGTCCAACCATCTCATCCTCTGTTGCCCCCTTCTCCTCTTGCCTTCACACTTCGCCAACATCAGAGTCTTTTCCAAGGAGTCTTCTCTTCTCATGAGATGGCCAAAGTATTGGAGCCTCAGCTTCAGGATCTGTCCTTCCAGTGAGCACTCAGGGTTGATTTCCTTTAGAATGGATAGGTTTGTTCTTGCAGTCCAGGGGACTCTCAAGAGCCTCCAGCATCACAATTCAAAGGCATCAATTCTTCGGCGGTCAGCTTTCTTTATGGTCCAGCTCTCATTTCCATAGTTTTCCCTAAGTTGAATGGGAACTCCAACAGTAGAGTTATTCCCTGGTTGACTTCCACTACATATTGTTAGATGAACAGGGAATATAGGGTTGCTGGTACTTGCTGCTGATGATTTTATTTATACAGTATCATTTAACCAACATGACAGTGGACAGCAACAAAAGGACAGATCTCTGATCTAAAATTTTACATGGGAGAAAATAGAATGCAGGAAAATGGAGATGAAGGTAAATTAGGAAAGATTGTTTATTCATAAGCAGCATATTTGTCTTAACGTTGGTGATGATGGTGGCAGCAGTGGTTTTCTTCATATGTATATCCCTCCATTTATCTGATCGTATGACTGCTTATTTTTCAGTACCTTGCTGTGGCTTTCACTTTATCTGACTTTGTTTTCTTTTTCCCTTCCCACGTACAGTGGAGCGAGGTTCAACAGATGATCAACAACACTCCTGTGTACATGTACCAGGACTGCAATGTCTTCTCCGAGGGAGATACTGACAACTGGCTTCGCACCAACTGGATATTCCGAGGGGAGGCCTCTTCTAACATCTTTGTGGAGCTGAAGTTTACCATTCGGGACTGCAAGAGTTTCAAAGGGGAGGCAGTGAGCTGTAAGGAGACCTTCAACCTCTACTACATGGAGTCAGATCAAGATGTTGGCATCCAGTTTCGACGCCCTCTCTTCACCAAGGTCAGCAAGACTGGGGAGCTATTATGGAGAAGTGTTTTGAATTTTTAGTTATTTATACCACTGACTCTTGTTTTACCATCTGTGTAGTTTCATGGTCTTAAAGAGAAAGGCCTGGGTCTCCAAGAAGCATATCATTTAAATTCTGACATTTGGGGAAGGAAGCAAGGAATGAGAATGGATATAGGTAGTAATGTCTCCTTGGGCTTGTTTGATGCTTGGGTATAAGAAAAAAATGGGTTAGAAGAAAGTTTTTGAGGGGAAGGGAGAAAGATGAACTAGAAGAAGAAGAAAAGAGGGGACCATGCACGTGGGAGATACTAAGTACCATGTTTAGATCAGGTCCAAGGAGCAACAAGAGAGAACAAGCAGAAGTAGGTGTGAGAACAGGGGCTCTTTGGGTGGTTGAGGGTGGTTGCTATATAACAGAGTTTCAGGAGTAAAGGTCATGGGTGAGGACATATGAGGAAGTAAGCATGCAAAAATAGGGTGGAGTAATCACATGCAGAGCTTTGAGTGTAAGCAGACAGCATGCCCTGGACACAGAATTATTATTTTTTAAACTAGACCTGAACCTCTTCTAGAGACAGCACTTAAACTAGTTTCCTAGAAGTCATGCTCCTTGGTCTTCTGGTACCAGCTGTATCATTTTCAGTTGTGATTGAAACAGGTAAACCAAATTATGAAAGAAATTAGACTTTCCCTTCTTCTGGAGGCACCCTGAGACTGTGTAGCTTACCCAAAGCCACGCAGGCTGGCTCTATGCTCAGGAGGCACAGTGGGGGAATCAGACTCTGAACTTCTGGATTCTAGGATACTTTGTAGAAGAACCAAATCACTTAGAATTAGGGGCATTCATATATTTTTAAATATTGCTACTGCTGAGTAGCCTTGTACAGTATAAGTTATGGCAACAGAATTTCAGTCCCTAAATTGTCTGACTGAGAGATCATAAGAACTTTAGTCTAGAACAGTGGTTCTTAACCTTGTGTTACTCAGGTGTTTTTGGACTGCAACTCCCAGAAGCCTTCACCACCAGCTGTGCTGGCTGGGGTTTCTGGGAGCTGCAGTTCAAAAACACCTGAGTAACCCAAGGTTAAGAACCACTGGTCTAGACCAGTAGTTCCCAGCCTTTGGTCTCTAGATGTTTTTGGACGATAACTCCCAGAAATCCTGACCAGCACAACCAGTGGTGCAATCTTCTAGAAGTTTTAGTCCAAGAAAATGTGGGGGGACCCAAGACTGGGAACCATTGGTCTAGAAGAGTAACTGTATTGTTTATACAGGATAGGTTGATCAAGGCAGTTTAGTCATAATGGCTACATGGAATCTCCTTGGTGAGAGGGAGTCTAACTCTGAATTAGGCATGTGTACTGTCTAATTCAGCAAGTTTGTGAAAATTGACTGAATCAGGGATAGTTGTGCAATTCCAGAGTGCCTGCAGGGTGGATCAAAAATCTGCTTTTCACCCCTGGGATGGAGCAGACACCAGCAGGGATTCATTTGGCATTCATAGGTTTTTAAAAAGAGAGCAATTCAAATTCAGGAAAGGGGCAATAGAAATTAATACAGGGGCAGTAGGATGAGCTGCTTGCATCAAAAAAGATGTCAAGGGGCAGCAGAATCCACCCGTTAAGCACAAGATCTTCTTTGAACCCTCCAGCCTCTGACGCTCTAGAGAGGGCTCAAACTAAGCTCACTGTGCTTATTTATTGCCTTGCAGCTGGTTGGTCGACTATTTCTAGAGTGAACAAAAAGACTTGGTTCGCTGTTTGGATAACCATTTTGTGTTCTGGAATACTCTTTGTTCTCTCACTCAACTTACTTTGCTAAACTGTACTGAAATACTATTGCATCATCAGGATTGAATGATTGTAGTAGGGTTGTGTGGGCTCTGAGTTGATAGATCACACAGTTCACCCTGTAGCTCTGCCCCCAAGTTTAGAGCCATTTGTGTTCTCCTAATGTGCTAATTTTTTTTTAAAAAATGGAGATTCAGAAGCCCACAAATAATGTTGCAGTACCAGAGACAAAGTGGGCTGGAATGTCTCCTAATAGATATAGAGCAGATATAGGGCTGTATGCTCTCTGTTCTGGTGACCAGTGGGTTAGAGGGGACCTCTACAGAGTCCTATTCTAAGTAATAGCTGCTGGGTGGAAAAGAACAGGAATTCCCTACTCTTCATGGATCTTCTGGAGGCATGAGGTTGACCACTGTTGAAAAACAGATGGACTCAGCATTTTAACCAGCAAAACTCACATTACAAGTATGGGCAACTCACTCACCAGGAGCAATCCTAATGTTTTCTAAATCTTTCCATTATGTAAGTAAATGTGCTTGTTAGAACCTGCTGGCCACAGGTCTAACAAGCAATTTTATGATTTCTTAGAGTGATAAAGAGCCAAATATCTTATATGTTCTTATCTGTTTGATAGGAATGCTCTGAATTATATTA